CTCTCTTTCTGAGTGCACAAGTTAAACCCAAAGCAAAATCACTAATTTTGTTTTATTAGCCCCTGAATATTAGTTGCCAGTTTTTACTTTATATTGTATGCCTCAGGTAATGCTATTGGTTTCCTTTAGTATATTTAATTAATATTTCCTGTGTGCCCTGTCTTATGCAGATGAAATATTTCCCAGTGAATCATGTCTATCCCACATAATTAAGCAAGAGAGATGTAACCATTTTATATAAAGTTCAGTTAAATACACCACTTTTTACAACATTTATCTCAATTCTATCAACCTTTATACCTTCAACTTTAGTTTTCATTAGGATCCAATCAACAAGTCTTGGGTTTACAAGTTCTAGGAGCTTTCCTTTCTTTTATTTCTTAACTGTTTTATCTATTTTGTATAAAAGGCTCTGGTGTCCTCCGAGAGGGGTTGAGCCAAGGGACTCAGGCACTTTTGTCAATCTTTTAATTTAATTAATTGGCCTAATCATTACCCCAAGTAATCATTGGTCAGATATCTCAGTGTAAATTTTTCTAGCCCTTTAAATATGTATGTGTATATATATATATATATATGCGTGTGTGTATATATATATACGTATATGTGCTATGCTTAGTCACTCAGTGGTGTCCAACTCTTTGCAACACCATAGACTGTAGCCCTCCAAGTTCCTCTGTCCATGGGCATTGGAATGGGTTGCCGTGCCCTCCTCCAGGGGATCTTCCCAACCCAGGGATCAAACCCAGGTCTCCTGCATTGCAGGTGGATTCCTTTCCATCTGAGCTATCAGGGAAGCCCATAGGGGTTCTTTAATGTTGGGGGACAGTAGGGGATCCCTTTGGCCAGTTCAACCTTAGGTAGTATAGTATCAAATAATTTTTTTTTAAAAAACCTTCTGTTTTAATCTCATAAATGTCCTTTAAATTTAACCCATTTAAAAATAACCATCCAAAGATTTCTTTATCCATTTAGATAAGTCCCCTTAAAATTCCTACCTTCTTGGGAAAAACTCTCTAGGCTTTCCCTTCATTTTTTTCTTATTTCCCTATTAACCAATTAATATTTTTATTATCATCTGTAAGACCACCAAGGGGAAGAGGAAACACAAGTCTTCCTAAACTGATTTTTGTTGTTTGTTTTAAACTGAGGAAGTTCTTCTTTTTTAATTTTTTTTATTTTTTTTTATTAGTTGGAGGCTAATTACCTTACAACATTGCAGTGGTTTTTGTCATACATTGAAATGAATTAGCCATGGATTTACATGTATTCCCCATCCCGGTCCCCTCTCCCACCTCCCTCTACACCCGATCCCTCTGGGTCTTCCCAGTGCACCAGGCCCGAGCACTTGTCTCATGCGTCCAACCTGGGCTGGTGATCTGTTTCACCCTAGATAATATACATGTTTTGATGCTGTTCTCTTGAAACATCCCACCCTCGCCTTCTCCCAGAGTCCACAAGTCTGTTCTATACATCTGAGTCTCTTTTTCTGTTTTGCATATAGGGTTATCGTTTCCATCTTTCTAAATTTGAGGAAGTTCTTCAGTTAACAATTAGGTATATATTTTTTTTTCCTCTTAATTTGATAATTTCCTCATAGGTACCAATAAAGGAGTTGCTTATAATGAGAGCTGTCTAGAAATGTATCAATTTAGAGTTTTTCTAGTTTAAAGGATCCATCGTCTGGCCATTAGTGAGATATATTTTAATAGTGTAGAGATGGAATAGCTTTCCCCACAAGAAAGTGTGAATGAGGCTGCCTATACAAGATCTAGAAAATTTACTCCCCAAAATAGTCTAAGGAAGTAAAGACCATCATTGTACAGGCTGATGCAATGAAATTTAAGATGTCCAAAAGCCCCTGAGAGTTGGTACTGTCAGAAAAATCACTGTTCATAATCCCAGTGTATATGATTGACTGCCAAATGCACACTGTAAGTGTATCTTTTGGATGGCAAAGACCAAGTTTTCAACTCATACACTTTAGCTGAAGAAAATCAGAACATTTACATTTCAAAGGCACAGGCAGAGAAATGCAGGTTCCCGCAGAGGGCTTTTGTTTTTTGGGGTTTTTTTGAGATCAGATATTTGAAAGGGGGTTTATATCAAGATAGCTTTTCTAACAACTGCCTATGCAACAAGAGCCCCCTTATTCATGTTCAGGGCAAGATTTACTTTAATTTTCAATTAAGTGGGTACTTGCAAGTATGAAACTGATACGTATGATACCTCAATCTGGCTAGTGTGTTAGTTATAGGCTGGCTTTCTGATGCCACTCATTTTTCTCTTTGAAAGAATCTGTCTCCCATTTTAAACTTGGATTGGTCAGGGATAAAATTTTCTAGTGAAATTGTGTAGTGGGCCAGTATGCTGCTTGTGAGCTTAACTCCTCTAGGTTTTTACCCTGGAGTCATTTTAGCTCCTTCTATGTGTCTCAGGGTAGTATTTATGTCTCCCTTTGGTAGTATTCAATATAAGACCATGGCGGATGCTTGGATCACAGAGAAGCCAGTTCTTATTTGTGTCTCCAGCAGAAGTGAAAGTGAAAGTTGCTCAGTAGTGTCCAACTCTTTGCAACCCCATGGACTGTATAGTCCATGGAATTCTCCAGGTCAGAATAATGGAGTGGGTAGCCAGTCCCTTCTCCAGGGGATCTTTCCAACCCAGGGATCAAACCCAGGTCTCCTGCACTGCAGGCAGATTCGTTAACAGCTGAGGCACTAGGGAAGCCCAAATCTCCTGCAGAGCAAGTTGTTAATTAAAATGAGTGGGTTTCCCTATAGGGACAGCTGCACTTGCCTCTAGCACTCTTGCAAGTTTCTCAGTCACCTAAGAAAGCCCTTGCTGGCCAGGAGGAGAGTCCCTTTCTTCGGAGCTGACAACTCTTGTGTAATATCTTCACTTCTAGCTCTACAAATTCTTGTTAAGGTAGCCAATCTGAAGAAAGAAAACAGGTCAGTCTCCTCCCTAACCTCTCAGCTCTGACAGCTCAGTATCTTTGTAACTGAGCAAATCCCAGTATTTTCAACCAGACTTGACTAATAACTTTCAACTGTGGGAGTTTACCCTTTCCATAGTGTCTTTTGACTGGGTACCCTCAGCATCTTTTAACTAGGGGTGGTCCCTCCCAATATCTTTCCACTAGGGAACCAGGTACCTGTCAGATATCACCAATTAAAAATCAGGATCATCAACCAACAAATGGGAGATCCAAGAACCAGGAGAAAGTTTCACTCAAATTCATCTGGACTCTTCAAGGAAGGCAAATAAGAGCAAAAAGGCTCTGCTGGTACCAAGCTCCAGTTCCTCATAGAGTTCAGGTGAAGGAGAGAAATCTGGTCTTAGTCCATTCGTAATTGGTCACCAAAACTTTCAACTGAAAAGAATGCACAACCTAAAAGTTAAGAATTATGTTTTATTTGGCTGACTTCCTGAGGACTTCAAGCACCGGGGGCAGTCTCTCAGATAGGTATGAGGGACTGCTCTGAAGACGTAAGGGAAGAGCCAGAATCTACAAGAGCTTTGCAAAAAAAGTCAGGTAGTTGAAACATCAACTTGAAATAATTGAAAGATTAAAAAAAAAAAAAAGATTACTGCCACCTAAAAAGAACCAGATATCTCAAGCTAAAGAAGTTAGTGCTTTTCTATATATGGGAAGATGCGGGGGTCTGGGCTCATTGATATGATTCCTTTGGTATGCACCTTAGGTATCCATGGCCAGTATCCTGTTCTTTCCTATGCTGAGTCCCCTCAAGAACGAGGGGCACCACTTGGGATGCTGTGGGCTTGGCTGTGGGCAGCCTGCTTGTCTCCATCCTGAGTTCCCTCAAGGCTCACCTTTGGTGGTGGCTGTAGTGGCTTGATTGTTGCAACATCCTGTTTACTGATAAGGCAGGCAACATTTTTCATTCACAGTATTAAACTCTCTCATTAGCCCTCCCTGGTCCTGACTGTGCCTTTGGAAGTTTCACAAATTAACAAAGTGTGAAGAGGGGGACCTTGAATGCTCGAAGTCTGCACTAAGTCCTTATAACAGCTCAGTCCTAAGAGAAGATATTGACATTAATGAGCAAGAAATGGGAACTTGGAGAGCAGAGAGCACTTAACTGTTTTTCTCTATTTCTTTACAGAATATTTTTCAAAAAATTGAAGTATAGTTTATTTGTGATGTTTCAAGTGTACAGCAAAGTGATTGAGTTTTACACACACACACACACACACACACACACACACACACATAGTTGTTGCTATTGTTGTTTCATTGCTAAGTTATTTCCAACTCTTTGTGACCCCATGGACTGTAGCCCACCAGGCCCCTCTGTCCATGGAACTTCCAAGCAAGAATACTGGAGTGGATAGCCATTCCCTTCTCCAGGGAATCATCCTGACCCAGGGATTGAACCCAGGTCTTCTGCATTGCAGGCTGATTCTTTACCATCTGAGCCACCAAGGGAGCCCACAAAGGAGGGAAGAGTGTTAATCCCTGCCAAATGTAATTCACACCAAGTCAGGGAGTGTTAGAGGTTAGCTTTTGAAAAGCCTGTCTAGTTACAGATACTACAGATTAGTAACAGTTAAAACTCAGATAGATCAACTTTTTCAGGCCTGTTTATGTTGTTTCTCTGGACCAGTTTGCTGTTTCTCTAGAGCATTTTCCTTGTTATCAGGAGAGGAAAAGCCTCATTTCTGATTTTGTTGCTACATTCTCGTAACTACAACTTTATACAGCCTCTCACAGGGGCAGTCAGAGCTCCACTGGGGGAGGCTGTGTCCCTGCAGGAAGAGTTGTATGTCTAGATCTCTTGGGCATAAAATATGGGTTGTGAGGCCTTGGGCTGGACCTTCCATTTCTTGCTCGGTACTATGAGGAAAAGCATGTCTCCTCTCCGAGCCTCAGTGGCCCCATCTGTTAAATGGGGCCACTGAGTTCTGTGGTCATCCTGGACCCAAGCTCTGGGGAGATTCTCTCAGAGAACCCTCTCTGCCCTGCTTACCCACAGGTGCCCATTCCAAGATGCAGAAGGTCTCCAACCTCTTCATTCTCCTCTGTGGGCTGCTTGCTCTATCCTCTGCTCAAGAAGTCCTGTCTGAAGTTTCTTCCCAGATCAACGATGGTGAGACTATCCAGCCTTGGGTCATGCCTGGTTGCGTCAGGCCCACAGCCCTCTTCTAGAGATCCAGGTCATTAACTAATGTCAGTTAAGTTCTGATTAGCCTAGTGGTTGGGACATAGTTAACTCCAATGATTATTAACAGTCATTAACAGCTTTGATCATCACTGCATTACTCTATTTAACCCTCTTCCCCCAAGGTTTATCCCTTTCCTATCTCCTTGCTTCATCTATTAAAACCTCTGCCCACCTCTCCTACTACCGCTTGCTCACTCCCTCCCTTCTGCCACAGTAGCCTCCTCAGCACATTAAGCACACCGCAGGACCTTTGCACATGCTATTCCTTCTGACTGGAACACTCCTCCCCTAACTACCAGCACAGTTCCCTCCCTTTCTTCAGGTCTCTGCTAAAATTTTGAATTTGCAGGAAGACCTTCCTCCATCTCTCTGCATATATTAGCATCCTCACCCAGGACTCTCAATTCCTCACTCTACCTTTTATTTTCCCTCATAGACAGAAATAGCATTCAGTGGAATTCAGTATATTGAAAAAATTTTCTATTCTCCCTGGGAAATAAATCCCTGTTCAGAAACTCCCAGCATCTTACTCATCACCCAAAACATCCCAGGTTCACCTGCCCAGAACTCCAGGCTCCTCACCAACCAAAAATCTGAAAAGTTAAGCACAGGCGCCCCAGGACCAGGCCTCAGCTACAGCTGATGTTCTTTCTGACCAGCCAGTGCCATGCCAAACTGGTTGCTAAATATTTTAAAATCAACCCCTTTACAGCATTTATTTGCCCCCGCCTCCTACGTGTCTCTTCATTCATGGCTCTGCCGTCTCTCCCTTCACTCTCACTGAAACTCCAGCTCCACCAGGGCAGAGAGTTCTGCCTGATCTCCCTGTGGCAGCCCCATCCCTGACAGCTGTGGCTCCTATAAATGTTTACTGAGTGACGGTGTCTGGAACTTGGTCCAGCACTGAATGACCAGAAAGACTAGGTGAATGAAGAGGAAGCTCCTCATATGGGACTTACTCAGAGGTCAAGGTTGCATCTGAGACACTTTGACCTCTAAATGTCTAATTGGGTTGGGGGTGGGGTGGGGGGCATGTTTTTCAGTATTGAGTCAAGAACTCCTCAGCATGGGCTTTCTCCCAAGCCTGCAGAAAATCAGCCTTCAAGAGTCACTGCAGAATGTCTTCCACCTTCCAGCAGACGTGCTGGGCATCAACAGTGACATCTATGTTGTGTGAGTGTGCTCCAGTTACCGCCCCCAGGCCCAGGCTCTCCTGGTTTGTCAGTTTGTTAGAGCTCACCCCACGTTCCCTGACTTCACAGAGGCCTTCCCTTCAGTTAGCAGCCCTTCCAGCACCTACGGCCTTAGATCCACTACGGTAAGTCCCCTAGATAAAAGGAGCTCCATTCAGAGAGCATGTTCGTAAATCCAATGTGTCTGTAAGTCCAACAAATTTAGCCTTGGTAACTAACACCATTGGCTATATAGTACGGTACTAGAATAGGTTTATCATATTTTCACACAAATAATGCATTAAAAATACAGAAAAAACTAAGAAAACATTTTAAGTCTTATAGCTCAGTACCTTGAAAAGTACAGTCATACAATACAAGTGACACAATGGAGCTGGCACTGAGTGAACAGGGCAAGAAGAGCTGCGGACTGGACGAGGTGGGAGATGGCAGAGCTGAAGGATGGTCAGAGGAGACAGAGGGCAAGCTGCAGTTTCACTCACACCTTCTGTGACTGGACACGCAAACGCATGTTGCATCTTTGAAAGTTCACAACTTAAAGATTCGTACAATGGGGATGTACTATAGTTGGAAGAAATCCCCACAGTGGGGGTTGTTGAGGGGGCTGCAGGAGTTGAGGAGGTGCTGCGGACAGATTTCAATCTCCCCATCTGCCAGGAGGGCAACAGTTCTCTTCCCTTCTCTCTTCCTCTTCCCTTCCCTTCTCAAATCTTGTTCCCTGTTAAATAGGGGATGATAGCATTTATCCCCGGAGAACTGCTGTGACTATTACATGGAATAATACATGTAAAATGCTTGCACAGTTCCCCATCCTTAGTAAGACCCCAATTGGCAGTAACAATAACCACCTCTACAATAATGGATTTCCCTTGTTGCTCAGATAGTAAAGAATCTGCCTGCAACACAGGAGACCTCCGTTCAATCCCTGGGTCGAGAAGATACCCTGGAGAAAAGAAATGGCAACCCACTCCAGTATTCCTGCCTGGAAAATCCCACGGACAAAGGAAACTGGCAGGCTACAGAGCATGGGGTCTCAAAGAGTCGGATACGACTGAGCGACTAACACCTTCTCTTTCACTTTTTCTACAATAATAATGTGGCAGCATGATAATCAATATTATCTGACCACCAGAGTGAAAAAGACCCAGCTCCTGTTCCTAATACATCCAACATAACTGCTGATTCCCACCCACCCTCATCCCACCCCACCTGGTCCTTCCCCGACCTAGCTCATCTTAGTTAGTGACAACTCTACTCATGAAGTTTGCTCTGACCAAAGCTCCTAGTGTGGTCCTAGCCTCCTCTCTTTCCCTCAGAGCCACTTCCTGTCAGCAAATATGGGCCGCCCTACCTTCAAAACACATCCAGGCATATGCCCTTTTTGCCCACCTCCTCTGATCTGAGAGACCCTCTTCTTCCACTTTCAGCCCCTCCCCTCCATTCTGTTCCACCGGTAACCAGAAAAATCTAAGGAGTAAGACAGACTCTGTAACTCCCTTACTGAGACCCTCCAACGTCTTCTCTTTGCTCTCAAAACCAAACCCAAAGTCCTTCTCACTGGCCCACACTCCTCTATGATGCCTGTCCCTGACTCCCTCACTTCTCCTGTAATTCTCCCCTCATCCACTGCCCACCAGCCACACTGAGTCTGTTGTTGTTCCTCAAACATGCCAGCCAAGTTTCAGCCTCAGGACCTTTGCACTTACTCTGTCTTCAGCCTAACTGTTTCTTCCCCTGGTTATCCTTGTGACTTGTTTATTCCCAGGCAAGAATACTGGAGTGGGTTGCCATGCCCTCCTGCAGGGGCTCTTCCCAACCCAGAGATCGAACCCATGTCTCTTTATGTCTCCTGCATTGGCAGGTGGGTTCTTTACCACTAGTGCCATCTGGGAAGCCCTCCAAACTGCTTAATGCTGACCAAAGGACTGGACTGGATCATCCTGAGATGCATTAGGACAAGAGTTTCTTCCTGCTCAGGGCTATATCCATGCAATGCTCATACCACGCAGTAGTTATGAAATTCCATGATTAATGAGTGAGCAACCATATTTGCATACCTCCAGCTTCTGCTCTGCAGGGGACCTGCCTTCACACAAAGTGAGGCCCACCCACAGCTGAAGTCTGCAACCTTCCCCTGTTGTGCTATTTCTTCACCCAGGGTAGAACTAGAAGACCCCCGCCTCCTTCAGGTCTTCCTCCAGGACTCCGTCAACAACAAGGAAGCAGAATTACTGGTAGCGTTGGCATTTTCTGGACATACAAAGTAAGTAACGGCTGCGTCTCAAGTGCAGCTCCATTCACTTTTGCGCAGTGTGCAGCAGAAGGCAGGGGGAGGACGTCCAGCACAGTCTCAGAAAGGCTCATTGTGTGGTTGGGATAAAACAGCCCCTCCCCGCCAGGCCCGGGTCACCCTATGTGTAGAATCAGGAGTCTGAAGAATACTTGAATGCTTCCATCCTGGGGCCCCTCTAAGGAAAGGAGGAAGGTTGAGTGAGTTTCTTTTTCCCTGCTTCATTCAAAGGCCCCCCCCATTCATTGATTTGGACTTCATGAGCCAACTCAGTTCTGACTGAATAGGATTTAAGGTGAGAACTCAGGAATCTGCTCTAGACTCCTACACTCCTTGGCACTAACACGTACAGATGCCTAGGGATATGTTTTTTAGTCTGCATGGTATATTTTTAGAGAGGATGGGCATTCTTCAGCTCATCACAGCCTTCACTCATCTCCCTACAAAGACAAGCCCTGGTCTATTTCATTCATTTCCATTTCAAACCTGACCCCCAACACAGTAGATTTTGAGACCTCTTAAAGTGTACTTTCCAAGGTCACGGTTTCTTGGTTTGATAGGATGCCATACTCAGAATCAATTTTTTCCTTTCTAACTGTCCCCTGAGCCATAGTAGTATCATAATAGTATCTGGATGCTGCTGGCTGGATATATGACTTCAAGAAAGCCATTCCTGTTCTCCAGTCCTGAGTCACATCTTTTGAAAAATGAAGAAAGGGTTGTAGTAGGGTGATTTTTAGGATCTTGTGCAAACATGGGGACCCTCATTCTAGAAATAAATGGAAATGTAGAAAGCTCTGAAATTCTCTCCCACCATCCTTAACTCTTCCTTCCCACAGGCTTCCAGGTCTTAATCCCCTCATATTTCAAGTGAGGACAAATATGAAAGTCCAGCTTCGTTTGGAGAAGGACGTAAATGGCATATACCGGCTCACCTTCGGGCATTGCAGGCTCATTCCTGAGAGTGTTCGGATCCAAGCTGGAAGTCTGTGAGTTTTTCATCTTTTTCCAGCCAGGTGTGATGAAGCCCACATGAGGCTTCAACTGAAAGATGTCACCAGCAACTGTACCCTCCAAAATCAGCCTTTTGTGTAAATCAGTTCAGTTCAGTCACTCAGTCGTGTCCGACTCTTTGTGACCCCATGGACTACATTTTATAAATAGAACTTCACAGTAATTTAGAATTGTGTAGTTTGTAAAATTAGTAATTTCATTTACATGAAAATGGTTCCCTGAATAGTACTGAGGACAAAGAAAACAGAATCACTTGATCATTGGTTGGCATTTAGGTTATTTCTGAATTTTTTTACTGTCATAAATAATCCTGAGACTTTGGGGAAATTTTTTCCAAAAATAGAATATCAAATGGGATCATTTCCTTATTGTAGATAGCTAAAAATATTGAAAAAGTATAAACATTTTTATGACTTTAAAATCTGAAGGCATATAATAGTTTAAAGACATCCCAAATAACTTACCAAATACTTCACCATTAGAACTAAATTAAGTGATTTGTTTCTAGCCAGTGTTGATCAGTTTCACTTCATATTCAAACAGCACCAATTATTCTATTTTCAGAACTTTTTTCTTCAGAAGCTAGAAAATATCACGGATGCAATTCTCTTCTTTTCTTTTCTTTTTTTTTCTTTCCTTTTTTTTTTTTTTTTTTGGAGACAGAGGGGGCCAGGCTACCAGTAGAGCCAGGATTTCATCAGTCTCTTATTAGTCTGTGACATTTCTTCTTCTGAGTAACCATCTTCAGAGGTTTGCTCTTTTATTAACTAGAGTTTTAGTGTTTTCCTATACATTTATAATCTCTTTTTTACAATCTTCTTTAGTAAGATTTTTTAAAACTTAGGCTGACATCCACAATTAACTGAATCCAATGATCATCCCCGATCTGTTTTATACCCTGTCTTTTTTCACTCCTGCGTTCTTTATTTTGATTCATCTCCCAGTTTTCTCACTGTTTCCAGAGAGAACTGAGTGTGGAATCCTTTCTGAGCCCATACAGATCTGGTAATGTTCTCCGGTCATGTTCAAACATAAGTGAGACCCAAGCTAAACACAGCCTCACTGGCTCTCAGTCACCTCCTCTTCACTTCAGTTCAGTTCAGTCGCTCAGTTGTGTCCAGCTCTTTGCAATCTCACGGACTGCAGCATGCCAGGCCTCCCTGTCCATCACCAACTCCCAGAGCTTACTCAGACTCATGTCCATTGAGTCGGTGATGCCATCCAGCCATCTCATCTTCTGTCATCCCCTTTTCCTCCCACCTTCAATCTTTCCCAGCATCAGGATCTTTTCAAATGAGTCAGTTCTTCACATCAGGTGGCCAAAGTATTGGAGTTTCAGCTTCAAAATTAGTCCTTCCAAAGAATATTCAGGACTGATTTCCTTTAGAATGGACTGGTTGGATCTCCTTACAGTCCAAGGGACTCTAAAGAATCTTCTCCAACATCACAGTTCCAAAGCATCAATTCTTCAGTGCTCAGCTTTCTTTATAGTCCAACTCTCACATGCATACATGACTATTGGAAAAACCATAGCTTTGACTAGACAGACCTTTGTTGGCAAAGTAATGTCTCTGCTTTTCTCTGAAGATGACTCCCATGTCTTTTGATGTGTTGAAGAAAACAAGTCCCTTCTCTGTGGGAAATCTAAGATGTCAGGCTGGCAGGGGTAGATCAATTGATTTATATGCAAGGTTTTTATAGAATAAAGACACATGGAATTTATATTTACATGTAATTATATATGGGCTTCCCAGGTGGTTCAGTGGTAAAGAATCTGCCTGACAATGCAGGAGACACAGGAGACTTGGGTTCAATCCCTGGATTGGGAAGTTCCCCTGGAAAAGGAAATGGCAACCCACTCCAGTATACTTGCCTAGAAAAATCCCTGGGAGAGAGCAGCCTGGTGGGTTGCAGTCCATGGAGTTGAAAAGAGTCAGACTCGATTGAGCACGCAGGCATGCCATCTCCCCGTGATTATATATATTTACATATATATAAATTTTTATATAATCTATAAAATACAGGCACAAACCTGTTGCCTGAGAGTTAGGCAGATTTTCCCTCACCTGTAAGGATTAAAGACTGAGTCAGAAACACAAAGATACCTTGTCACTGTTATTTCCTGTTTCTTTCTCATCTCTCCCAACTGAAGACTATTAAAATATTCCTTTGGTGAATGCACAACTTTCTGGCCAAGGGCACATGTTCTACTGGGGTGTTAGATAATCAGAGAAACAGGAGTTTGCCAGAGCAAACTCAGAGTTGGCTGGAAAACTTCGGAAGGGCTTTCTGGAGGAAATTGTTGGACCTAAAAGGGTGACAGGAGTTGAAGAAGGCATCTCGGGAGAGAAAAATAGAATAGTCACAGATAGGGGGATGAAGGGCAGCAATGATGAGGTCAGGGTGATTAAATGGGAAGATTCATTTTGAGGATCCCTAAGAAGTAGGTCAAGGCAGAAGGACAAGGCTGAGTCATGAAATGCTCTGTGTGTGTGTGTTAGCCATTCAGTCATGTCCAACTATTTGTAACTCCATGGACTGTAGCCCGCCAGGCTCCTCTGTCCATGGAATTTTCCAGGCAAGGATACTGAAGTGGGTTGCCATTTCCTTCTCCAGGGGATCTTTCTGACCCAGGGATCAAACCCAGGTCTCCTGCCTTGCAGGCAGATGCTTTACCACCTGAGCTACTAGGGAAGCCCCATAAAGTGCTCTGGAAACAAGCAATAGACTTTAAGCAATTTGGGGTCCATTGAGCAAAGAAGTGTAGTGAAAAAGGGAGAGTTTGGGAGAAATTAATCCATTTTACCCACTTTTTTCATTCTTCATTTAGAACCAGTCGGATACCAAATTTTGTTTGGGAATATGTGGAGATAACTATAAAAAACCTGATCATCAATAATTTGGGAGCAAAAGTAAGTCTACAAAATCCAACTGCTTCAGTACAGCATGTAGGATCTTAGTTCTCTGACCAGAAATTAAACTTTGCCTGTATTGGAACTGCTTTCCAGGTGACGATAGTGACAAAGAACCTGCCTGCCAATGCAGGAGACATAAAAGACATAGGTTGGATCCCTGGGTTGGGAAGATCCCCTGGAGAAGAGTACAGTGACCCACTCCAGTATTCTTGCCTGGAGAATCCCATGGACAGAAGAGACTGGCAGGCTGCAGTCCATAGGGTCGCAAAGAGTCGGACACGACTGAAGCGACTTAGCATGCACACACATATTGGAAGTGCAGTCTTAACACTAGATCACCAGGGAAGTCCAGGATTAGCTATTTTTAAACTGGAAGGAAATCTCCCAGGAAGGAAAGTTAGAGAAAGAGGAAATGGGAGGAAAAAAGCTTCCATTCTGTATCCAGGCATGGAGAAAGTGCTTTACAGACATTTAATTCTTCAGATCAAAACTAGCATCTGTGTGATAGGAGGTGAATTGATAAGCCTCTCCAAGACTTAATTTCCTTATCAGTAAAATTAGTAGGAAGTAATTATAAAATTGAGAGCTAATGTTCATTAAGCTCACAGAAACTCTTCTAAGTATCTTACGTGAATCCCATCCTTCAAACCATCTCATACTTTAGGCTACAATATTATTTCCATTTTCCAGATTAAAAAAAAAGTCCCAGAGAAGAATGACTCACCCAAGTCATAGAGCTGCCAAATGGCTCAGCTGACATATGATGCCAGGGCAGTCTCTCCCCCAAAGCCCTTAATCTAATTTTCCCCTCAGATGAGTTGGCTTAGAAGAACTTGCCTTGATTACTCCCATTCAGGCTCCAGTCTGTAGCACCTTGCTCCTGACTCTTGCATATTTCCTTATCTTTCAGGTATGCCCCTTCATCAATTCATGGCTCTATAACCTGAACCCACAGGTGGCTAATGAGCTGATGAGTAAGTGATGGCATGGGAAGGGACAGGAATACTCCAGGAGAAAGCTCACACTTCATCTCTGCCCTTACCTCACCTTGCTTCTCTCAGATTGAAACTCCCTTCATCTTTTGAACCAGAATGGCCCCTAAAAATAACAATTCTAATGACCTCAACTGCCATTAATTGAGGGAGTCCTGTGCACACCAAGCCCAGGGGTAATCACCCTGCGTGCCCTAGCCGTTAAGCCTCCACCACTAGCTAAGTCCTGCTGATTTCAATTCTATTCTGCTCCCAAAAGCCTAGAGAAGCTGAGGTATGAATGGAGGTTTCTGTGGGAGACAAAAGCTGTCCAATTCCTCCTAAATTTAGATGTTGCTTTATAAGCAGAAAATAGCTTCAGCCCAGGCAAAACCTGCCTCCTTCCAACAGTCACTATCTCTAACCCGCCGAAGTTCCCACATCTGCAAGAACTCAAAGCAACAAATCCAAGATTGAATCTCAGCCGCTGAGGCCCCAGTGGGAATCTGAAAACCAATGGACTTGCTGGGTTGAAAAGACTCTTCCTACCTTCACTGAATATTCACTAGTTCTACCAAGTACTAGATGCTGCAGTTTCTCTCCCAGTAAGCACTTTTCTGGCCTCTGCTCACATCCCTCCATTGACAGGGTACACCCAGATTATGCAATAGGAAGCTTAAGGCAGTTAAATCTGGTTGAGCTTTAAGGCAGAGGTCCCCAATCTCTATCAGTCCATAGCCTGTTAGGAATTGGTCCACAAAGCAGTTTCATCTGCCACTCCCCATAGCTCCCCATCACTCCCATTACTGCCTGGACCATTTTCTCCCAATCCCCATCTATGGAAAAATTGTCTTCCAGGAAACCAGTCCCTAGTGCCAAGAAAGTTGGGGACCACTGCTTTAAAGTTCCCAAAGCTTAGTCCCCAGCTTCCCAAAATAAATGTGAGTGGAGGAGTTCAATCTCACCCTGATGATTCTGGGCCACCACAATGGGGAGATGGCCAGGCAAATGGAGACTCTGGCTGCTATAATGCCAGTTTCCTCTACTGTCTCACTCTTCAGTGATTTGCTTGGGAAGGATAGTTGTTCCCAAT